TTGCTCAAACTCATGTGCATTGAGTTGGTGATGCCATCCAACTGTCTCATCCACTGTCGTCCCCTTCTCCTCCCGCCTTCAATCTTTCCCAGCATTGGAATCTTTTCCAATGAGTCAGTTCTTTGCATCAGGTGGCCAAAGTATTGGGAGTTTCAGCTTCAGCATCAGTCCTTCCAATGAATATTCAGGACTGATTTCCTTGAGGAAGGACTGGTTGGATCTCCCTGCAGTCCAAGGGACTCTCAAGAGTCTTCTCCAACACCACAGTTCAAAAGCATCAATTCTTCAGCGCTCAGCTTCCTTTATAATCCAACTCTCACATCCATACATGACTACTGGAAAAACCAGAGCTTTGACTAGATGGACCTTTGTCAGCAAAGCAATGTCTCCATTTTTTAATATGCCATCTATGATGATAATAATAAAAAAGGAGTTGACAGACCAAGTTTGCACCATAAAGCTCTATTTTACTAGAATTTGGTATTCTTCTCAAGTAAATTGTCATAAATTAAAATGCATACATTAATCCCTAGAGCAAACAGTAAGAAATAACTTTTAAAAGCACATACATAGGAACTTCACTGGTGGCCAGTGGTTAAGAACCTGCTCAGGGGACCTGGGTTCAAAACCTGGAGGGGGGACCTAAGATCCCACAGGTGGCAGAGCAACTAAGCCCATGCCTGGTTACTGAGCCTGTGTGCCACAACTAAGACTTGGTGCAACCAGATAAATAATTTTTTTTTTAGTAAGAGCACACACATTAAAAAAAAAAAAAGAATTTAAGTGGCACAATAAACAATACCTATCTAATACAAAAGGTGGCATAAAGTAGAAATGAAAAACCAAAAAATATGTATGACATATAAAAAATAGCAAATGACAGACAAAAAATCAGCCTTCTCAATAACTGAATACAAAAAGACTAAATACCACACCAACAACAGCAGTTTTCAAACTAGATTAAAAAAATAGGATCAAACTATATATAGTGCATGTAAGAATACTCTTTAGATTCAATTATACAAACAGCTTGAAAGCAAAATTAAAAGAAAAGTACATGCAGATTGTAAGAAACCTAGACTGCCTATATTAAAATCACACAAAACAGACTTTAAGACAATAAACATTACTAGAAAGAGGGACATTTCATAAGATTAAGTAAATCATTTCATCAGGTAGATAAAACAATTCTAAACATACATTCACACACCAAAAAAGGCCCAAAATGAAGTAAAAATCAACATAACTGAAAAGAAAAACAGAAAATTCAACAATAATAATTAGAGGCTTCAATACCTCAATCTCAATAATTGCTAGAACAACTAGACAGAAAATCAGCAAGGATAATGAAGACAATACTATCAACTAACTTGAATTAATATTTACTCCACCTGAATTAATAAATATAACTTCACCTGACAACAGATTATGTCAACATGTAACATTCTCCAGTGTAGAGCACAAGCTAGGAAATAAATCATGTCTCAATAAATTCAAAAGGACTGAAATCATACAATGCATATCTTCTGATCATAACCACAAGAAAACAAAATTAGAAATCAGTAACAGATGAAACTTTAAGATATCCACAAACGTTTGGAAATTAAAGAACATTTCTCCAAATAACCAATGGGTCAACAGAAAAATCATAAAAGGAATCAGAAAATATTTTAAACTTAATAAAAGTGAAAATTAAAAAAATAAGTAAATAAATTAAAAAATTTTTTAAATAAATAAGTGAAAATAAAACAAAAACTTAAGGGATGAGGCTCAAACAGTGTTGAGGGAAATTTATAGCTGTAAATGCCTATGTTAGACAAGAAAAACCATCTCAAATCAATAACTAAAGCTTCCAATTTAAGGAATTAAGGAATCAGATCAAAAGCAAAGTAAATTCAAAGCATGCAAAAGGAAGGAGATATAGTTTAGAACAGAAATCAGTGAAACAAAATAGAAAAATACAGGGAAAAAAAAAAATCAATGAAACCAAGTCGATCCTTTGAAAAGATCAACAAAAATACCAAACTGTTAGGTAGATGGGTCAAGAAAAAATAGACACAAATTACCAAAATCATGGATTAAAGAGGGGATATCACAACCATTCCTATAGGAGTTAGAAACATTGTAAGTGAACAGTATGAACAAGTTACAGAATTCAGATGAAAACTCCTAGTAAAACACAAGTTACCAAGCTGTATCAAGTATCAAGCAAAAAGAGAAAATTAGAATAGACCTATACAAGAAAATAAACTGAATTAGAATTTAAAATCTTACCACATCAATTCCACTCCTAAGTATATACCTAAGAGAAACAAAAAATGTCCACGCAAAAACTCAATATTCATAACAGCATCATTCATAGTAGTCAAAGGGGACAACAACCCACATGTGCATCAACTTGATGAATAGATAAAATGTGGTATATCTATGGATCCACACAAAGGAAAATTATAATTAGTATTTAAAAATAAATTAAGGAATTAATGGATACCAGCTATAACATGGCTATATAAATATATATAACCTTTAAAGCACAATGCTAAGTGAAAGAACAATTCCATTCATAGTGGCATCAAAAGAATAAAATATTTTGTATTAAATTTGGCAAAAGAAGTACCTTATACAGGAAAATCACGAACAGTGCTGAGATAAAGAATACCTAAATAAATGGTGAGTTATTTCATGTTCACAGTTTATAATAGTAAGATAACAATTCTCCCCACATTGAACTGTACACCTAATACAATGCCAATCAAAATTTCATCAGAATTCTGTGCTCACATGGACAAACTGATGTTAAAACATTTTATGAAAATTCAAAAGAATCAAAACTGCTGTAATAACTCAGAAAAAATACAAATAAAGTGGGATAACTTACACTTTTTCATTTCAGAACTTCTTATAAAGCTACAGTAATCAAGACAGTATGGTATTAGTAAAAGAACAGGCACACAGATCAACAGAAGCTTATGTTTTTAAGAAACTGCCGAACTGTTTTCCAAAGTGATTTTTACCATTTTACATTCCCCAATAATGAAATTTTGCCATCTGCAACAACAATGCATGGACTCAGAGGGTGTCATGTTTAGTGAAAAAAGTCAGAGAAAGACAAATGCTATTTGATAACACTTGTATGTGTAATCTAAAAAACAAACTAATGAATAAAACAGAAAAAGGAAACAGACTCACAGAGAAATTAGTGGTTACATTTGGGAAGAGGGAAAAGGTGAAGAGCAAAATAGGAGTAGGGGATTAAGAGCTACCAGGATATACAGTAGGGAATACATTGCAGGGAATACAGCCAATATTTTACAGGAACTATTAACAGAAACAACCTTTAAAACTGTGACTCACTATACTGTATACCTGAAACTTACATAATCTTGTACATCAACTATAATTTAAAAATATTTACATATATGAAAAAAAAAACTTTGTTGTGTGAGATAAACAAGATAACATGGTGAGTTTGGCTTTGTTGCTTACTTGGGAGTTAAATAACCTTCAATACCATATTTACTTATCTCTACATTAAGAAACTAAGCATCACTGTTATGATATTAAATCAGTATACCTCTCCCACCAAACACACTGCTTAGGATATTTCCAAGATATTTTCCAAGACTAGCTTGACTTTTCTTAAACTGCCCAATTTTTTCTTCCTCTTCTTTTGTTTCTCATTTCACATAAACCAAAAATAAGTGTCCTTCAGCAACAGTTACAATGAGGAATTCCCAGATCCAAAAGAAACAGAATGAACAGCTTTTATTTAAGTTATTCAAAATCTACAATCTGATCTCTATATTCTTTTTTTAGCCCTTGGTATGTGTTAATTTGCAAGACTGACTTTCATAATCTCTATAAAGCAATATTCTTCTTGCTTAATAATGCTGTCTTTTTCTATAAGCATAGATTCCCTGCCATACAGAAACAGCTGTATTTAGCAAACAGCTAATACTGTATCAATTTGATTTGGTCTTTTATCCTAAATATCTGCATTAGGTCATAAGCAGAAGCCAATTCATCATCTCAGCCCAGTTTGCAGAGTAATGAAAAATAAAGCAACAAAGTCAATCAGGAAGAATCTTATTACCACAAACTTTTCTACTATTATTTCTAAATCACAGGTTTGTAATGTCTTTCAAAAGATCAACTTCCTTCAGCAAACTAAAATAGGCCATAAAAAATAAATTCCTTTTGTAGATAATATTCTTTTGTAAGATCCTCATATACCTTGCTGGTTACATGTTCTAAGAAATTACATTTATACAATTGAGTAGATTTTTAGTTAAAGGAGGGAAAAAATAATTATGGCACAATCATCTAGCTTTAGTCTAGAAAACTAAATATAATAGAAAAATTAAGACATTAATACTGAATAAAGACATTGATATTAACCAACAACTAGCACAAATTCAATATATAATAAACTAGAATATTATTAGTAAAAATGATAATGAACTCAGAATGAAGGCATCTCATGTCAAGAAAGTTAAAACACTAATATCCAAAGATCTCTGGTAATACAATTTATAGTAGACTACCTCTTTAAGTTGTACATGGACTATTTTTGTTCTATCTTTACACAAATTAGTCTAATTAAAACAAATTTAATATGGAATTACAGTGGTTTCTGCTCCCAAGAGAAGTCTATTACTGAAAGTCACCTCAAAAAGTGAAGATAACTACTGGAGCTTCATGATATTTAAATATTTTAATGTATTTCAATTATGATGAATTAGATAATCTCTAAGCCCTCTGCAACAATTTTCTTAAATCTGTGAATCACAAGCTGTACACATTTCCACAAGAGAAACAGAAGACATGCCAGACACTGTTATTTACTATTAACTTCTAGTTATTTTACTGAATAATGAAATTCAAAAGTAAATGACATTTTGTTTGGGAAGAAAAAAAAAAAACTTAAATCTTGCTTTACTACAAATTAGAAAATAAAGACATTTAATAAGATACAAAATATTCCAGAAAGAACACCAAACCTTGAAAAAATCTTCAAGCTGTTTACTGTTATAAAGAGCAGGAATGTTGGCAGAGAACTGCAGCAGATCTTCAGCACACTGTCTCCTCTCTTCAATAACAGTTTCATCAAATCGTCCTAGAATTAAATAAGAGTCAACACTGAAGGAAAGAAAGATCAAAGCTGGTTTATAACAGTTGAGGTTCACAATGAGAGCAGCAGCAGGCCCACACTGCCTATCTGCTGTGCTCATCATGCAGTCTTCTGAAGTCAAATCTAGTCTCCATAACTGCAATCACTCGTGCTCCCACCAGGGAAGAAAGTAACGTTTCTGATAAAACAGGAGGCCGAGGTGTCAACTAGTCAATAAATAGCGCTGTCATAATCTAAAGACTGTCAATACAAAAAACTTACCATTTAAGAAGCTGGCAATTTGAAACTAAAGTTGAAAAGAGAATTATAAAGAGCTCAAATAGTTTTCTACAGTAATTTAATACTGCAATTACTCATATAATTTTCCCTTTCCCACTCTTTTTTGATTTATAAAGGGAGTCGAAGAGAGGAAATTATGAGAACATCTGTATGGCAGTGGGGTCAAACACCTCAGCTTGAAGCAAAAAGCTTTCGAGCCAATTTCCATGTGCGATGCTGTCAGTGTACATAAAGCATGCTTGCGAGAAAATAGAGAACCCGCACGGCGCAGTGAGCTCTGGTTTACAAGGTGATCGAAAGGTGATTTTCATAGAAATTGTTTTAATGATATATACAGTTTGAATGCTGACAAGACATTTTCAAATATGAGCATTTTGTACTACTCTCAGATAAGATTACCGGTTGGCATTTGTCACACGCCATGTTATCACACTGATTGCAGTTTAGGTTTAAAAAACTACAAAATCAAAAGAGTAACACATCCCATACTTGAGTGGCTTTGCAAAATGTTAATGAAAACAGAGGCATAAAGAGATTCTTAGTTATAGGCACCACAACTTACTGGAAATAAATTTCTTTGCAGTTATCACAGAGCGCAAACGAATGAAAGGGAGGAAAAGAAACAGATTAAAACAGAGCCCACAGTTGCTTTAGTCAAAGCATTAAATACTGTACATCTGAGAGTACAGAGAGAAATGAGGTCACTTTTACACTGCCACACTTCTTTCAGTAGCTTACTAAGCACTTAATATAACGATAAAGTAAGGAAATTTGTTTTTTAGCAACTTTTAAAATATCACATCTGGTTTCCACTCACTCAGAAACACAATTAATGATTAAATTTTGGTATGCTAACTAAATTTGTGCCAAATCTCTACTCTCCCTTGTTTACAGGGAAATTTGTTTCAAAATGCTCAACTCTATTGTGAGAGCACAGAATTAAAAAAAAAAAAAAAAGATGTTATAAGATAAGAAACATCACACACTTCTAATCCCACATACTTTAAAACCAGCACATGCAGGATTACACTATATCCCAGCTGACAAACTTAGGATAATAACTAGGCTTTGTGGAAAATAACCGAGGTTCAAGCTTGTTGATTTTAATCATGACATCACCTTAAAATGGTTAACAGAAAGTGAACAGGTTTTTAAACAGAAATAGAATAGAAATGTTTATACATATATATATATATATATAACAACAGAAATGGTTTTATATATATAACAATAGAAATAGTTACATAGAAAATGAACAGGTTTTTACAAATCTAGGAAGTATAAATAAGCAAGGTAGTATGATCACAAAAACTCTAGTCAACCTTTAAAAAAAGAGAAAGACTCCTAGTTATACTACCCAAGGCAAGAATTTGAAACTGAACAATTAAATGCCTCAGCTCAATGTGTCTCAAGTCTAATGAAACATCTACTTCATAACAACGGAAAGAAATGGTTTGAGAGATAGACCTGGGTTCAAACTACTTGCACTCTCATTTGGTAGTTATAAAATTTAGGCTGATGACGTCCTAATTTACAAAATGGAGAAAATGAACAATGTACTCAAAATGAATAGTTCCATATCAAGCACATGTATGCATGCGCAGTCACTTCAGTCGTGTCCAACTCTTTGTGAACCCGTGGACTGTAGCTCACCAGGTTCCTCTGTACATGGGTTTCTCTAGGCAAGAACACTGAAGTGGGTTGCCATGCCCTCCTCATCAAGCACATGGTAAGCTCTTGATAAACCAATCATGGTTTCCTTAAATCTTCAAGTAGTATCATAGTGTCCAGTATATAGAACAGGCTAATATATTTTTGTTGACTGTATGAGTAAATAATAAAAACTTAGAAACTCTGTCCACAGAATTTTCCAGACAATACTAGAGTGCATTGCCATTTCCTTCTCCAGGGGATCCTCCCAACACAGGGATTAAACCCACAGCTCCTATGTCTCCGGCATTGGTAGGCCCATTCTTGACCACTGAGCTACCTGAGAAGCCCAGGGCGGGAAATAGACTATAATTTCCAGCTTGCCTTGAGGTTACATGTGGACTAAATTCTGGCCAATAATATATAAATGAAATTTCATTTTGCAGCTTACCAGAAATCTCATTAAGAAATAACTACTATACATCCTCCTCCTCCCCATTCTCCTCTTTTTTCTATCTCCTTTTCCCCTTCCAGGAAGGACCAGGATGTGGGAGGTTAAAAACAAGACAGAACAAGGCAGGAAGGAGCTTGGATTCCTGATCAGTCTGGAGCCACCTTGCCTGAGGCTACATCCAGAGCATATGCCACCAAAACTAATATTATCCATTATGCTAAATCTACTAGTTTCCAGGTCACACTCAACAACTACATTAAATTCTTCCAATGACAAAAAGACGTCTAAAGTGACACTGCTACCTTACCTATCAATAATATCTGCAAACAAACTTCTGAGAGCTATAACATGTAGCACAAATTCTCTGGCCTGAAAACAACCTAAGATATTCAATCGTGGGGGGAAAAAAACATTGGCCAAACAGGTTAAAATGACAGCTAAAAATGTCCATTATCCCTTCTTTTGCCTAAATAAGAATTTGAGTATTCATCGGTGCTTATGACTATTGTCCAGCATATTTATCCTTTAAACAAAAAAGCAAACTGCAGTACCTATAAATTTAGTAGTAGTAATTGTGTGAGCATCTTAGAACAGAAATCCAGAAAACGCACACATTATATTATGTTTCAACCTTGATATTATGTATCAAGACCATCTGATATTATCTTTAAATGAACTAACAATTTGTTGAGAAATATAAATGAAAAACTTCCTCATATTTGATGACATCCTAAAAAATGCTAGTTTACTAGTTGAAACAAATACATAAAAATTTGGCAGCTTTAATCCTAGTGTGATCAATGACTCACCTCACCTCCCTATTAAACTAGATTTAAATGCTTAAGTTGTGAGTATATCAACTTCTAAGTAGAATAAACATGTCAAAGGTGTGTTTTTGTTCTATTTCTATTGATCTATGCATTTCTATTCCACTAAACTTGGACAAGCAGAGATGAATTAGAACATTTTTCAGAATACAACCAAAATTAAAGGCTAATGCATTAAAAGGTTCAATTACACTGAATCCTATCATCAGAACAAATGATGAAAGAACACTTCACTTCTTTGTTCCTAAGATATTTCAGGAAAACAAAGATAAAAAACAGTATTGGTAGCACAGACAAAGAGAAGCAGATAAATTTTAATGCAATGACTACTGGCTCTAATACATGTAACAAAGCCACCTAATTTGACAATTAAATTTAAAAGTAGCAAGATTCAACAGTAATTCTAATGGTAGACAACACCCTAGGGGCTACTCTCAAACTGTTAATCTTTAAATATCATCAAAACCTCCCTTGAAAGTCAACAACAATGAGAAATTATAAACAGGCGCTTCTCTTACAGCCTTTAAACTTCCATTTACAGGAATGGAAATTTTATTTTCTTGTGAAAAGTAGAAAAATTATAGGTAATTTATGATAGAAAATGTAAAACAAATTTTTCCTGAGGTTTATTATGCAGTATTACACATTATATACTACATTATTTGTGTGTGTGTATATATTATCTTTAAGTCACTCTACCACCTCCAAATTACTCCACAGTGGTTTGCTATTAAAAGTGGCAGAAGGAAAATTAAACCAAAACCTTCTCACAAAGCTGGTAAAGCACTGAAAATAGTCTCTCTCTTTGATTTCTAAGCTGTCTTTGAAATCTCCTCTATTTTTTTTTTTTAATTATGAAGAACAACTCATGAAAGCAGCTTTTTTTAAAATGCAACTGTCAGTAACCAAAAACCAGTTAAGCAAAACTAAAGGTTATCCTTGACCAGTAAGAAACTAGCCAGAGAAGCTTGGTGCTAATTCCTAACTGTACTAAAAACTCATTCACCAGGCAAAAAAGAAGAGAGAGGCCAAGTTCTTAGGTGTGAATTCCCTCTAGTCAACAGCACCAAGAACATACCTCTAGTTAAAGAAGTTAGATTTAAGACTCCTTACAACTAAGAAGAATGTATACTCTGGGGAACCCTGGGGCGTTTCACTCAGAGGGTATTAGAAAGGACTTACAGAATAGAGTTTGTGTTGGGTGCTGGGGAAAGATTCAAAGAAGTGGGGCTTTGTTTGCCCTATCAGGAAGTGGGAGCAATTCTAAGATTCTGTTAATTCTATATACTTCTACGATTCTATGGTTTTAATAAATCTTATATGAGGCAAGAAGAATGAAGAGAGGCTAAGGCTGTGATTTATAAAAAAAAATCTGTAGTCATCATGGTAGCCAGGATGAAGTGAACCTTGATCATTTTTGTGACTTGACAATGTTCATGTTTTTGCCTGTGTTCAGACATGATTACAGAGTGGTCTTGTTTTAGTCTTGATCCAAAGACACAGAGTGCCCTTGTCTAATGTTCCTATTCTGTTAAACTGCTTATATTCAACAGGGGAACAACACAGCCTAGCTGTGAACGCCAGGCCAACCCTAATAAGAAACACCGAGGTCGAACAGATATGGAGTGTCGGGCCAGTTCTTTCTTACATCTCGTTTCCCATTCTCACAGGAAATCACAATGTGAGGAGAGATGTAACAAAACAAACAAAAAACAGCTTTGTATGATCTCTGTGATTGTTTTCTCAAGATCAAGATTGTGAAACCTACAAACTAA